TCTTTCTGATTGCCTTCAATTATTTGGTTAACTTGTAGCTCTTCTGGAGAACATTTGGGGATTGATTTTTTTTTGCCATAATTATTGTCTCTATTTTCTGTTGAATGATTGCTCCTTATTATTTTATTGTACCATGACCATTGTATGGGATTTTTTTTTTATAAGGCACCATTTGAGTACTCAGATGAGCTTCTTAGCCCTCAGGACTTGCATTTAATGGTAGAATGAATGTTTTCCTTTCTATTACAGCTTTGAATTTGGATCTACAAACAATAATGGATATACTTGCAAAAATTTATGCATGTATTCATTAACTGTATGGACTGAAGTTTTAAAGCCCTATACAATAGAGAGTAAGGATATGATCTTGATGGAGATATGCAGGAACTGGCATATCTCCAGGCAGCCCCTAGGCCAGGGGTGTCAAACTCAATTTCATTGAGGGCCGCATCAGCATTGTGGTTGTCCTTGGGGGGGGTAGGTGTGGCCAGGGTGGGCGTGGCCTACTGGGTAGGTGTGGCTGGAGTGGGTGTGGCCTACATGGTGGGCGTGGCCAGCTCTACATCATTTGTGTCAAGGTGCCTGTGGGGGCCTGGGCAGGAGTGGGACAGATCTGAGGGTCTCTGGCAGAAGGGGGTGGGACCAGGGCAAGTGCCAAAGCATAGTCCACTGGAAGAGCCTGCTGAAACCCCTCCCCTGGAGCCCATCAAGCCAGATATGTGAAGTAGGCGAGGGCCATTTGCTGGCCACTACCAGGTGATGGTGCATTTCTTCATTCCTCACAAAGGGTGACACCTCCCAGCATGCACCCGGGGGGCCCTCGACGCGGCAGGGCCAGTCCCTTGCTGTTTCCAGACGGCCTTGTGGAGCTAAGACTGAATGCATTTCAGCATAAATGGCCACCACAAAATTGTACATCTGCTCCTGGCTGGCCTGGGCCAGGGCCAAGGCAGCGGGGCCCGGTCCCTCACTGTTTCCAGGATGGCTTTGCGGGCCACATGAAACCACGTTGCGGGCCGCATCCGCCCCCCGGGCCTTGTGTTTGACATGTCTGCCCTAGGCAAAAGGGGCTGAAACATTTTTTTAAGTTGACAACAGCCAGATAACATTCAGAAGCAATTCAGATAGAGGCTTCCCTAATTCACTGAACTAGGAGGAGGAGGGGGAGGAGGAGGAGGAGGAGGAGGAATAGCACAATTAGATTTGCAAGATTTTGTTATTGTAGCCATTTAATACATGTAACTTGCCTTTTGATGGAATTGATTTCCTGGTCTGATCTTTCTAATGGGGGACTGACATATATATAGAGAAGTTTATGGCTTTAATCCATATAGAAAAACCTTTGAACTAGCATATCATCCTGAGTTATGGAGAGTCAAATAGTATTTGAAGCAGGGGAATAAATGTTGCAAAGCTTTGCGTAGATACAGGCAGTTAGAGATTTGTGAGCTCNTATATATAGAGAAGTTTATGGCTTTAATCCATATAGAAAAACCTTTGAACTAGCATATCATCCTGAGTTATGGAGAGTCAAATAGTATTTGAAGCAGGGGAATAAATGTTGCAAAGCTTTGCGTAGATACAGGCAGTTAGAGATTTGTGAGCTCTAATTTTAACCATAACCATAACCCCATATCTGATACATGTCAGCAGGACTAAAAACGCTCTCCTCTCTCATCCCAACTCATCTCAAAGGGCTGTTGTGAGGAAAATAGGAGGAGGGAGTGCTGGGTATGCTGTTTGGAGCTTTTGACCAAAAAAAGGGCTGTAAACCAAATAAATATGTACATATATGCATGCAATGTTTTTTATTTGTTTGTTTGTACTGTGTCTTAGCAAATGTATCATTATCATTGTCATCCATCTTTCCTACAGAGGAGAGGATAGGTTTTTATGGCAGAGGTTAGACTATTTATTACTATCCAGCCACATCATAAATGATGGTTTGGCAAAAGATTAGGCAGACAATAGACACAATTTGCCTGAGCATCTATCCCTGCTCTTAAAATCCACAATACTTGTAGCCAGCCAGCCTCTTTGGTTACATAAACTCGATGTAGATTTCTGTAAGAGCAGGCTGCTCTGATATATTTTGTTCCATGGTATATAATATATTAATGCTAATTATAGTCCTCAGTATATGAACCATATTAGACCTGTTGGGCTGTTATGGTAGATATAAAATACAATAGTCCTTGACTTACAATCGGTTGCTTAGCAACCATTCAAAGTTACAACTGATCCCCCAAAACTCAGTGCACACTCAGTTCTGAAGTTCTGACAGCCAGGCTGCCTCCTCAGGTCACGTGACCACAATTTGGGTGCTTGGCAAGCAGCCCACACTTATGGTTGTTTACAGTATCCCATAGTCACATGACCATGACTTTACATTTTTACTGAAAACTGGTGTTTGCTTCCAGTTTGGAGCAAAAATGCCACATAGCATATAATTGGTTCACTTAGTGGCCATGGCATTCACTTAATGGCTGTGGAGTCTGCTTTATGACTGTTGCGTTCATTTAACAACTGCTGTAAAAAGTCATTGATCAGGTAAGTCATATGATGACCTGCTTTATGACCATCACAACTTACAACCATAATTTGTAGGCTCTATTACTTTGTAGATCGGGGACTACCTGTACATTATGGTCTATCAAGGACATCTGGGTCAGCCCTTCTCAAGATAGTAACACAAGCATTCATTGTACTCCTTGGCTAACCTATAATTGACATCAGCCTAAACTAGAGCTAAACATGTTCAGGTGCATATGCAAAAGGCTCCTTTTCTGAATAGAGAACCTTAAATAATCTTTACATCTGGACTTGCACAGATTTTAGATTGGCTCCACATGTTGATGGTGGAGCTGCAGCTGAAGTATATGTCAATACTGACACTTAGGCATCCATCATCTCAGTTGATGCATTAAACGTGTGGTGCCACAAGCTAATAAGTTGAATAACAGTTACGGAGTACACAGTGTCCATGTTGCTATTCACAAACAATTCCCCAGAGGCAACTCCTTTTACATACAGAAGGCAATGGTTCTGTGGCAATTGATTATAACTGAACTATTGGCACCCAAACTAAAAAAGCATAATTTTAAGATGTTTGTTTGTGTTAGGGGAATATATGTTTTATCTGTTCCTACAGTGGTTCTGATTTCTAATTCCTCTTCCCACCACATTTTCTTCTAAAGAATCTCTTTTCTCTTTCTGTCTCATGCCAAGGCCTCTGGTGGTATCTCCTTTATCATCTGCCTGTATTCTCTTAGGGAGCTCTATCTCACAAACCTAAGAACTGTGACTGTGAAAATTGCAAAGAGCTTGTCTAATTCTTTCTAGAGATCAAGGAGAAAGCGTGAAGTGGAATAAAGTGCCTCATGGTTTGCAGCTGCTCCAGGTACATAAATAATGTGGGCAGAAAAAGGCACTGGCAGCAGCCGAACTTTTGGCATTCCCCTTTTTTTCCTGAAATCTTTTCGCCTAGCTCCACTCAAGCTTTATTCCTTCTTTCTACCCAAAACAGGGACATTCACTCCAACTTGTAGTGCAGCTTGCATCTTGATCCCTTTACAAGAAATAGTCTATATGTTCATGAAACAACTTCTGAGATCAGAATAAGTCATTTTAATTTTTTTAAGAGGAGGAGCCCATCTCAGACCAAGTCAAGCAGCTGAATTACACTGATTTCAGTGGGAGAATCAGACAAAGGCTGAAATGTGTATTTCTGAAATGTGTGTGATACATGAAGGCTACATTTGACCAATTATGTTAAAAGCATGCAGTTAAAATTATACAGAAAGATAGATCTTCTTAGTTCTGTCTATTTATGTTGAAATGATTGTTTGTTGAAACCAGATGAAAACCCCTGGGGGGGGGGAAATCTGCTAGATTTATCTTACAAGGACAGAAACAATCCAGTTCAAATGCTTTCACCATATCTACTTTGTGAATCCCATGAATTGTATGCCAACTCATGTGGATATTTAAGCTTTTATCATGATGTATATGGCACTATTTGATTAATTCTCATTAGGATTCAAACCTCTTTAATCTGAATCCTTGGGTTTGGATTTTGTTATTTTGCTGAGTGTGAGTCCCCTTCTTACAAAAACCTTCTAAAGTATCACCTACAGAGCGATGCTTATTGACCATCTTCTAATTTCACAGTACTGCTATTTGATGAGAAGAAGAGCATTGTGTGGCACATTCAGAATAACACTCCCTGATATGAAGAGCATCATGTTTCAATAGTCATTATGGGAAAATTCTTCTTATCTGAGGAAATAATTTCAGATTATTTTCATTGTTGTTAGTGAAAATCATTCTTACTATTGCAATTTCTATTTGTATGTTTTGCAGTCTTCTTGAATTTATAATTTCTCCTAAACTCTGTGTGTGTGTGTGTGTGTGTGTGTGTGTGTGTGTTCATTTAGAGCTACAGTTCTCATCATCCACGGTTATTTTGGCCATGGTGATTGAATTAGTAGTTCAAATAATGTGGAAGGACCAGACTGATAAAAGTTAGCTTAAACTCTTCTTTTTTGTGTATTTTTGACTTCAAGAGAGTGTTGAATTTGTGTGCATCCCACAGTTTTCTTGGTAACAAGTGGCTTGCCCTTGCCTCTTGCTTCAGATGATTAAAGACAGTTAAAAACAATAAGTTGCTGCAGAAATATTAGAGAACAATAAGCATCAGTAGACATGAATTTGCACATTTTTAAAAATTCTTTAAAAATCCAGAATACAAAAATATTCATGAGATACTTCCATGTTTTGCAAGATAGAGTATTCCTGTGAAAGGAATAGGATGCACAAAGCTAAAATGTTCTTTGCCTGATTGCAAATATCTTCTTTCTGTGGGTGATCTGGAAGACACATAATTTATAGGTAGGTTGGTACAAAGGGTCAGGAGAGGATTTTCTCAAACTACACAGGCTTAGAGGTCTGTACAATTACCTTGAATTGAAGTCACAAAAAGATAATTACTGTAAACCAACACACTTTTCTTTGATAATAAGTTCTCCAATACAATCTCGTAAGAGTTCACATCTACTGCTAACTGCTTTTTGTGTTGGTGATATACTAATAACAACAAAAAGAGCAGGAAACATGGATAGATACACATACAAAAGGGGCTCCACATATACTACTCACTGCATTAGTGTAAATAGAAAGTCTTTAAAGAATTTCCAATTATGGCATATACTAATCAGCATTTGGAGCACCTGGACTCTGTTTATGGATTAAATGATAATGACCACAAGCAGGACAGAATCCAGGTCAACAGATGCTAAATAATTCAGTAAACTGATTTATTAATTGAGTGCCATAATTGCCCACCTGATCTTTGACTTGAATTATAGTCCCAAATATAGGAGGTGCTTTCATCAGATGCATTCAAACATGTTATGAAAATCAAAAGTATTATGTTTAAAACGAGATACTAATTCTTTGGTTGGAATTTTACTTTAGAAGCTGCAAACTGTGGTTTTTGTTCAGTGTAGATATTCTTAATGAGTTTCTGTTTTTTAAAATGAATAATCTAAATAGTCAGACTTTTCAGTTGACCGTTTGACTTTTAATGATAAACAGAAATAATTTGTTTGACCTTTCTCTTTGTTCTGCAACCTAATGCACAGTAGTCACAAGCAATGATGAATGGCTCAGTACTCTTTTCTCTGTTCTTCTTTTTGGTTGATCAGAAATAGCAGGCTGTGTTCCTGGGTCTGCGGGTTTGGAGGGTTTTTTGGTCATAAATTCTTGTTATAAATATCCACTTTAAACTTAGTCCTTTTTGTTATCAAGAAACAAATGATAATAAAAAGAATAAGAATAAAAAAGAATAGGAATGCATCATTGAACAAGAAATCCGAACACAGTGTACGGGAAGTGAAACAAAACTGCAGTTCGTTCCTCTTGAGCTCAGATATCATTTTTTTGCGAAGTGTAGGAGGGGAAAAGCACCTAACATCTTTAGAAGCTAAGCTTCCCACTTGGTCTTCCAACCAGTTTTTCAGATACAAAATCCCACAGTCACAATGCCATGGATTCCTAGATAGATTGATGATCTTCAACACCTGAAGATGGTCAAATGCTCCTGCGGGTATCGTGGCTAGTTTATTGCCCTGGAGGTACAACTCTTCTACTTGACTTGGCAAAAGTGGAAGCACCATCATCCCCATGAAGCTACAGTTCAGTTTTAATGGACTGTTTCCTGGTAGAGAGCATGTACAGTGGTGTGGACAGTGGCTTGCAAAAGCAGCTTCAAGAAACAGAAGAATCAGCAAGCCTTGACATGGGATCATTCTGAAAATTTAAATGAGGATAACCGTATAAAGAAATAAATTAGTGTAAGTTTATGAACATTTAGCTTTGCTCAACATTCTCCACAATAAACCCGTAAAATATGTTGAAATAAATCAAAGGTGTCCGACCTTGGCAACTTTAAGACTTGTGCATTTCAACTCCCGGAAATCCCCATCCAACATGGCTGGCTGGGGAATTCTGGGAATTGAAATCCACAGGTCTTTGGGCACCTTTGATGTAACTATCTCATGCTCATAGTACATTTGAATAGGTGAGTTAATATTTTAATATTTTTGTGCCGCTTATCAAAGCCCCCCTTAGAGTTACGGTTTACTTTAATATTATTGTTAAAAATAATTTCATATCAGACACAAAATGAATTTAGCTTTTGCAATATATGATAGCTCACATCTAAGCCGAATCTTCTCCTAACTGCCCCTTTCAAATAAGGAAATCAATAACTTTATAAGCAGCCAGCATGAAAGAAAAGTTAATTTTCGTACAACAATTTATTTCTCATTGCGTTAGACCATCTGTGAAACACAAAGTGAGTGTTTTCTTTCAAAGGAAAGCACCAATCTTTATGAAGGCTTATGCATAGAAATGCTTTTCTCAGTTCTGAAGTTCAGATCCAACCTTTTCAGTTCTAAATGGAATTGTAGGCACAACCTGTTTACAGAGAAATCCATTAGGATACTCAGAATACAACATTTTTTACAGAACAAATTAAACATAATCAGTCCTATGGGATGTTGTTTTCAAATTATGGGAAAGTGGATTCTAGTAGACAATGAAGTGGAGGACCACATCTTTCTCATGGCATCCCCACCCCCAAAAAATTCAAAAATCAAGGACACTTTATTGATCTGCTACATCTGTGCAAAATTTAAAGAGTTGTGATACATAGTATAATATCAACTTATTAGATTTCACTCGGACAGTCATAAAAGAGTGAGCTGTCGAAGAAGGAGGAGTGGATAGATTATTAAATTTAATTCACATCTGTGATCACCAGGAATGTATTGGATAATCATGAGAAAGTCACGATCTAAATCCTTATTGTGTTATAGAATTATTGTAAGAATAAAGTAAGCTGACATTTATTAACTCAGTGAAAGAAGGATGGGATACCACAAAAGCAGCCAGTTCTCCATGTCCTGCCCCTATTTACAGGTAGTCCTCGATTTACGAACACAACTGAGCCCAAAATTTCTGTTGCTAAATGAGACATTTGTTAAATGAGATTTGCCTCATTTTATGATCTTTCTTGCCACAATTGTTAAGTGAATCATTGCAGTTGTTAAGTTAGTAGCATAGTTGTTAACTGAATCTGGCTTCCCCATTGATTTTGCTTCTCAGAAAGTCGTAAACGACCCCGGGACACTGCAACCGCTAGTTCTCAAGCATCTGAATTTTGATCACATTTTGACCGTGGGGATGCTGCAATGGTCATAAGTGTGAAAAATGGTCATAAGTCACTTTTCCACTGCTGTTGTAACTTCAAATGGCCACTAAATGAACTGTTTTAAATTGAGGACTGCCTGTTTGCTGGTGGCACTCTTTTTGAAACGCTGAAAATGTAGCTCAGTGGACTCATCTGCTTAGTCAAGGAACAGATAAGTGGAGCTGAATCCAGAGCAGAAAATAATCTGAAGTTGCTATCTCAGACGTTGCTCATTTCCAAGCTGGTTGGAAAGACCAAAAAGTGCAGGCCCAATCCATATAAAAAAACCCACCTCATTAGGGAAAGCTTTCCCACCCTTTTACGCAGAAGTGCTCTCAGGTTTGTGGTGGTCGGTGATACCTTATTAGTAGTTCTTTGGGGGTTTGGGTTTTTATTTTGTTTTGTTTGTGTATTTACCTTTCTAGACCTGTAAGATATTTTATGGTTTTTTCTTTCTGTTTTTATAATGTAAGCAGCACAAAGCGGTCTGGAGTTTGGTCATCTCTAAACTTTATAAAACAAATAAATAAAAGCAAATAACAACTTTGTGGGGCTTACGTCTGGAGAGAAATAGAATTAGAATATAGAATATATATTGGAATATAAAATTTGAGGAACTTTAAAGAAATAGCTGAATATACCACTACGAGCTAAGTGAAGACAGGAGAAAGAATGGGTGGGGTCCTGTTACCATTTTGACCCCTCCCCCTTTGCAGCTGCTGCTGTTTTTCATTGTAGACGTGCAAATAGAAATAGAATGACTACTGCAGAAGAAAGCAAAGAACAGCATTACATCCTGCAATGATATCTTTAACCCCATCAAACAACATCTGCCTATCCCAGATCATTGGGAAACACTGGATAGGTGGATAAAAATGACAAATCCAATCCAAACATCCAGTTGACTACATGACCAACAAAAATAATAATTTATTTTTTACTACCATTGGGGTTTGGGGTTTTTTTTGTAGTTTCCCCCCCTTTTTTTCTCTTTAGAAATATAAAAAAAATCAAAATGCCTTTGATACCATAAAAAGAACTTACCTCAAGCCAAAGACACATGAGAACGTCTTCTGCACACCTTTGCATTCTCTTAATTTTGTTTGTAAATATTGACATTGATCGTCAGCATCTCAGCTTTCTGTGCATTGTTCAATACAGGAAAAGACGAAGCTGATTCACAGATCACATCCCCTTTCCGAAGCTCTCCAGGAAACTTTCTGCACATGATCCATTTTCAGTGGGTGGCACAGTTATTCAATCCTTCAGTGCGTTGTTACAATGAAAACTGCAATCAACAGCACACCCTATGGAAATCCATTTGATTGGCTATGTAGGAAGTGTCCCGAAGCTTATGAAAGAAGTGGCCGGAGAAGATAAGCCTGTGATACTCCCTCATCCGCCATTGCAGCTTAACTCCCTCAGTCTCTGGAAAAATTCCCCTGATAAGGACACCCTGGTTCCCTTTGATAAGGAGAGCTCTGCTTATTAGAAAAGCTGCATTCCTTCAACAATTCTTTAAGACCTCTAAAGTTTATGTTTCCCAGAACAACATTTTTACATTCTCTGCTATAATTAACCTCAGTTCTGATTTCCAAAAATATCTTTAAAATAAGGAAGCCTTTTTTTAAATATGGAAAGTGAAAATTGGTACTGTACATGTCTACGTTATGTGAATTCAATAAACAAGACTTTATTTGAAACATTTCATATGTTTCATATGTTTATAGATATTTCTCCAACTTAAAGCATAGAATAGAAGGACACGTGTCAAGATTTTCTTTCCATTTTGCCTCTTACATATAACTCTTGTATTCCTAATGAACTTTCTAGAGCAGAAAATATTTCGTGTTAATTTTATGTGAAATAAAATTAGGTTTTATTTCTAGGTTTACCTTCACACAAAAGCCAATTATCATATATAGTGTAACAGCAATAATGATGGAATTTAAAAACAACACACATAATGAAGCTGCAACTCATTAATTTATAAATGATGCAAAGCTTACAATGCAGTTACATTTCTTTGCACATCATTAGTGAAGGATTTGTTTCCATTGCTTGGGGTTTTTTCAGGCAGTTATTATCATAAAATAGCAAATTATAATAGTGAAGAATAGTATAGTGCATGATTTATTTCTCATGTAACACATGAGAAAAATGTGAGTATTATGTCCAGGTTGATGAAATAAATTAAGTAAAATATTTTATCATTTGTGAAAGGGCTTAGACTTTAAGGAAGTAATGATATCCCTTGATAAATCCAGGGTTTGCCATGCTTAGAGCAGTTTCATTTAAATCTATGGTCAGCTATAATCAGACTAACTTAAATTACATGTTTGTAATATGTTGCAATGACTAAATTTTGATCCAATCCTAGTTGGATAATTACAATTTCATGCAAATCCATCTGGCATGCTCTCTCTAGCTTAAAAAATTGATATTTGATAAAAAAAATCCTTAAAATTCAAACATAATATCATCCATACAGAATATAGACCACAAAGACAGGTGTCTTCTAAGCATAACTGAGAACTCTTCAATAATTCGAAGTATATTTGTGGAATAAAATAAAGAAAAAAACTGGAAATTTGTGCCGTGGAACTCTACTAGAATTGGTGGAGTGTGAACTATCAACTTGCTTCATTTAAAGGAATAAATCCAACACAACTTTCAGTGATATAGTCCTTATTAAATAATAAGAGGCATGATGGTGCATTATTCTGAAATGATTATCACACCAGTTATGGACTAGGACTACTCAGCCTATAAATTCAAGATCAAAGTTGTTTCAAGCAAAATGAAGTCCTTGCATACTTCCATATTCTAGATAGCTCTCAGCATTCACTAGCAATACAAAAACTGTGCAATTTGTCCATTTTTCCTCCCTTGATTATTTTTAGAGCGAGCAAAAAGATAAATAATAAATAAATATTGGGGAAAAATAATGGGAAACTGCAGAAAGTTCACAAATGGAAACCATTGTACCACCCCCCCCCATATACTGTAGAAACTTAGAATATGGTAGTGCAATTTCACATTAAAAGAATCATCTGAAATAGCGCTTGGCAAAAAGCCCAGCCATATTTCCCTGTGAAGGAAATATGGATGTATTTGTGACACAGCCACCAAATTCATCAATTTGCTGAATAATTAAGTGTCCATATTTTTTAAAAAATTAATCCCTTCAGTAGATGGATTGGTACTTTTAATTTCTAAGTGGATAGGGATTGCAATGCCACAAAAATAAACTATTTTCCAATCCTAAATAGTCTGACTATAAAATATTTTACTACCAAAGCCATTATACAATATAACTTTCTAATTTAAATTATTTTTTCAGATGAAATTGTAAAAGATGAAAGCTCTAGATTCTCTCTCCTAGTATTCAGTGAATATGTGAGCAACTCCATTTTTTTTATATGTAAGAATATGCATTTCTACCACACTGAACAAGTTCGCATAAGATCAGGATTATTTATTCTCTTTGTGAATGATTATATGGCTGAGTGGCTGGATGCCATAGCAACAGAACCTGTGATGCATGGAAATACATTTCAATTATGCATATGGAAGCATTAATAAGGATAGTACAATTACATAGCAAAACAACTTATACATCTGTCAGAATTATTGGTTTAATATCAACGATAGTGATTACTGACATACATACATGGAAAAGTGTATGGGGGGGAAAGTGTGACATCTTCACCAAAAGAGACCTTTGTTTGTGATTATAGATACATTCAGTTCACAATAATACAACTTTACATGGGTGGTTTTATTCTTATAGCATCTTATTGCCCACTGCAGCATTTCATTTGGATTTCCTATTTTCCAGGTCATGGAACCGTAGCAGAGGGACTTCAGAAGAATGTTGCTTTCTACTGGCTTGGAAAACTAACTGTTTTGAACATTGCAAAATGCATGCTGCTAAAATTAAGACAACGATTGCCAAAAAAATCAGACCAAAGTCCCTCCAAAAAAAATCACGGCAACTGATTGGCAGCGTTTTTCTACACCCCTCCAGTTCGTTCCCTTTCAGCTGGCTCAAGGCTTTCCTATTTAGAGAAGCTGGAGTTGCACAGGTAGCCGTTGCAAGAGCACTTTTATTAAAGTCTGCTAGCCACTCCTTTAGGTATAAAATAGAGCAGTCACAGTGCCAAGGATTGTTGGAAAAATTAATTTCCTCCAAGCTGGTCAAGCTATCAAGAGCACCAAAAGGAACAGTGGTCAAATTGTTGTTTTGCAGATGAAGAATTTTGATGCTTGAGTTCAGGAGCGGCATCTCCTTGAGGTCCATCAAATTGCAGTTTGCTGCCCATCCCCAGGAATCAAGAGTCTTACAAGGACAGAGCGTGCAGATCCAAGCTTGGGTTGCGTTTAAGAACAACAACATGATTAGCCCTTTGATCATTGAGATTATTAGCCTGTTCCTGCTTGTAGCTGTGGAACAAAAAAAAATACACAATATAATACGTGTGAGCTCATTTCTGTCCTGTTCAAGTAGAAGATGAGAGTTATATCCAAAATATCAGGAGGTGATAGTGGTGCTGCCCAAACTGTGGGGTTAAATATGGACCCAGAAGGTAATTCTTGTTAAAGCCATTTTGTATTCTTAGTTAGACTTCCCAAGTCTTCTACATGGGAAGATCATCACCGAAATGTCATGATCAGTGACTGGAGAACAAATATGGATTCCCCACTGGCCATGTCTCTTAGATGATCCCTCTTCCTTTCTTCCATCTTAGTTTAGATTTCTCTTTTCAACTCAATTAGCCTGCTCAACAGCCATAAGTATTCATATTTTTTAGATGCTGATGCTTTTTTATTTCAACAATAATATTTGGCCTTTGAATACATTAAGCCCATTTTCCAATTCCAGCCTTTCTCATTTGGCATTCTATGAGAGATTGTGATTGAAAAAGAAAACTTTGCATATCACCCAATGCTAGCATTCACAGTGGTAAGGAATGTTTATGCATTGCAACTCACATTTGGATTGTGGATTGTGTAGGTTAGGTTAGTTGTATTGTGGGGTTTTCATACTTTTTTTAAAGGCAGGATTCCCTGGGACCTGAAAATTATTTCAAGGGATTCACCAGAGTAAAATAATTGAGAAAGGCTGGTATAATTCAAATTTAGTCAACTCCAGAAATGTTTAAAAACCGAATATGAGTTTCATCCTTACCAATTCTGAGGAATCCTAAAAAGGTCTTGGAGACTCATAAAGCCCCCTTTGCCTACATTGTTTTAACTCCTTCCTTCAGGTCAATGTTTCCCAACCTCAGCAACTGGTAGACATGAACTCCCAGAAGTCAGGGTCACACAGCTTCAAGTTGCTGTGGCTAAGAAACACTGCTTTAAGTGATAACCTGTCATAGTAGTCATTTGGTTGTTTGCCACACTAGCTTTCAGAATTGTTACAGATCACCCAGTACATTAGAGTGTCTCTCTCTCTCTCTCTCCATGGAATCACCACTGCTAAGTAATAAGGAGGACTTTTCTACAGGTAGTAGTTTCTTATATTCACACATAGGATCATACTACTAAAAATTTAAACTTTTAAAATCACATATATCTCTCTCCCTCTTTCTTTCCCTCATTTCCTCTTCTTTTTCTGTTCTAACTTTGATGGTTGACTCAGCCGCTCATTTTCTGAAGACTACAGCTTGCATTGTTGATGATGCATTATATAGCAAACATCCATGCATCTTTCATAATCTGATGTTATTCTAAGTGCTTTGCTTTTCAATGGAGTCAGTGCATGCATTCAGTTGAGATAAAGTGCTAAATAAGCTAATGACGCACAGGCATTTGAGGCTTTGAGTTCTATGCTTTTTATGTAAGTGTTCTTTTTCTTAAGAAATGACACCCTACATAACATAGACAGTGATCTGATGTTTTAAATGGGTCTGAATAGTTGCAATGCTACGTGGATGACCAACTTATCTAAAGCAGCACAAATAAAAGCCAATCAGATAGTTATTCTCCTACATGTTGGATGTGCATTAACTTTATGTTTTTATTTGATTTCCACAGCTGCCCATCCCAACAAGTAGCTCTGATTAGCTTTATCATTCATAAAATCACAGAACTGTAGAGTTGGAAGAGACCACAAGATTCAGCCAATCCAACCTTCTGCAGTGTGCAAGAAAACCAGTTAAACAGTTCGCAAGTGGTGGCTGACCAGCCTCTTCTTAAAATCTTCTAGAAATAGAAAATCCCCAATAGGCAGAATGGAAATGGCCGAGAGAAATGACTGATCCAAAATCACACACATAGGCTTGTGCCTAAAGCAGGACTCAAACTTATGGTCTACTGGTTTCTCGTGTAATACCTTAATGACTTTCCCCGTCAATTATGAAGGGGGGAGGGTGTCAAAACTGTTCCAGTCTACAGTATGTGTCAAATGTGCTAGGCATGCCACTGGTTTCACCAGTGCAAAGTAGAGAAAACAAAAATATTTTGATAGACTGTTTTTTCTAATGAAGTCTAGAATAATCCACCAAGGTTTTATTCAAAATACAATAATACCCTATTACTACATTCAGTTTTATTATATAAATTATCCCTAAGAATCTTTCAGTATAATGTATAGAACTTTTTAAAACACAGAGAGATGGTGCTTAGAATCAGTCAGGCTAAAACAAATGATTCCCCAAAGGGAATATTTAATCCTTGTCTTAGTACGAAAGATTATTTATTAAAATGATTAGCACCGAATAGAAAGTTGAGACACCTATGTCTCTGGATTGTATGATTACTCAGCACTTCCAATGCAGACCTCTGTACATTTATTTGGAGGTTAAGTCTCTTGAGGTCAGTCACATTTGCTCTTAATGGAGTAAACTGTTAGTCATTTTCTTATCTGAAATATAAACCATCTAACCTGCTAATTTTAAACAGTTAATATGATGGTAAACCAAATTTCATTTGTACAATATTTAGACCTGGAATGTCATTCCTGTCAGTTGCCTCATAGACACTGAAATTCAGAGAGATGTTGAATGAATGGGAATAAGCAGGATGGCTTCAATAATTTCCAGGGGACAGGGGCTTCCATTTGCCTATCTAAGCCAGGGCTGAGCCACCTATGGATGGTCAAAAACTACAAACAACTTTTGGGAATGCAGACAAGGAGTATAAGAAGACAGCATGATGAATATCATGCAAGTTTCCAATCTTCATGGGAGTTTGGAAGGTGTTTCATGTCTTTTAAAATGATTGTGTACATGCATTGCTCACCTTCCCTCCGTCTTCCCAGTGGGACACTTGCATAAGGAGATCAGACGAGCAAACAGATGCCAGAAGAGGAAAAAACAGAATTGGTGAGGAAGAAAGGGCAGCAAAAAAAAAAAAGTACTTGCATTAGCTTTGTGAAGTGGAAAGGCCTGTATGACTTCATGGGTGAATGGGGTTTCAACTCAGATCTCCCCCATCCTTGTCTACACTGTGACTAGCCTTCCCCAACTTGACTCCTGTGGATGCATGGAGATGGCGTACTGGCTGGGAATTCTACCCAGTGGCTGCTTTGACCAGTACATTCCACTGGCTCTCCAGGGCCATGTTGCTTTTCATGCTTTCCCCCCATGCATGGTAGTCCATCTGTAAAGAGGAACAGAATTTACAGTAGGAAAAATATGGTTTGTTTTTTGTGGGTGCATCTATTCAAGAAGAAACCATGATATGAAATTAGGTTTTAGCTATTTAAATATGGATCTGCTGAAGATTATCTTCAGTAGTTTAACATGAAAAATAAGCAAGGTAAAAGACAAAGATGCAAGCTAAAAAGAGAAATGAACCATATGTCTTACCTTTTATTTTATTTTTTGTTTAAATAGAGGCTGTGTTCTTTTCACTGAAGCTTCATAACTGGCACCAATGGAGCAAATGCAATAAGTGGTTTTTTTGACACAGGAAGGAAATGAGTTTAGCAAGGGCTCCCCACAGAAGACAAGTCTCCTTCATTATCTCCTGAACCCAAGGGCCATTCAGATGCAGGATGGGTGTTTCCTGCAAGGGGCGGGGGGAACTTCCTTTAAGGATGCACATCTTTCTCTCTCATCCTTGCTTTACATACTGCCTCATCAGCAAAGTATTCTACCCATATCCATGGCTTATGTGTTGGTCTAATAACAAGAGACATTGAGGCTGCAGGAAACGAACTTGGTTAGATGGACCATTGGTCTCACTCAATAGAGTGCTGCTTCAGAGACAATTAGGAATGACAGGAGTGACATTTGAGCCCAATGATTTTGGGTGGAGAAACAAGGTAAGTGAAAGGCACAAGTGAACAGTGGCCCAGATATGAAGCAGATTGGTTTTAATGCATGAGATTTGCCTGACCCTGCAGGGACATCCACAGAGGTGGTCAAGAAAGTCAAGATGGCATCTGCAACCATACAATTGAAACCCTGTTGTTTTTTTTACATATGTTTCATGCATGGGCTGTATAAAAAAGTAATGCAGTTGCAATTGACTTTTTTTTACTCCCTTCCCATGGACACCCCCATGTCTCTGCTTTTGAGTAGATCAATAAACATCCACCAAGACTTCATGCTTTATGATTATCACAGAAAAATTTGGAACTTGTAGACCAGCTCTCCTCTCCTTCAGATTTTTATACACATCATCCTTACATAACCATGATTTTTCATCCCGCAAATCCTATGCAGACGTTTAAAATTCCTACGTAACTTTAAATTAATCACAATTTTGTATGTTTGTAACTTGGGCTCCCTGCCTCTTAAACGATGATAAATGATTGTCTTAAGAGAAAAATGAGGAGTCAAAAGAAATCTCGGCATAAAAATTATGCCATGCTCCACTACCCATTTTGAGATTTTGTTTAATTATTATTTATTTTGAAAAAAAGTGGCCTAAAGGGTATCTAGGCCTATTCCCTAGAACTCTAAAGATTAATTGGTAATCTTTCCTTATAAGATGATTTATAGTACACATTTCTTTCTTAACATTTAAGAGCTGCTTGAAAAATAGCTACAAGCAGGAGAATAAACCTTTTCAACCCTTTTTAAAATGATCTTCATGTGGAAATAGAAATAGTTCCGATTAAAATTAACACTCTGTCAGCTTGTCAGCTCTATTGCCACAATCTGTTGCTGAAGAGACTCTTAATGAATGCAGCGCTGGAATCGGCCAGCAAAGATTCAGTCAGTCAGTTCAACACACTCCCCCCTCCGAAACGTATCTTCTGCATTTCCTGTCCACATCATCAGACTGTGTGAGGAGAAGGGAAGATGTTCTGATTTGGAAAATATTCAAAGAGCAAATTTCTAAATGAAGTCCAAGTATTATTCATCCTCTTCATTTTATTTTACTCTATATTATTGTCATCAAAACACTCCTAGCTTCAAAATAATTTTTTCCCTGGAGGCTCCAAAAATGTAAGAACAATCATCTGAGATAGAGTGTCTGTGGGGGGAGGTTCAAAAAAGTCAAATGGCAGCTACACAGTTGAAAGCCCACCTGTATTTTTATGTTTGTTATTTTAATTATAGGTTCCCATCACATGAATGTGGCCATTGTTTGATTTTATTTTATATTGCCCCCTGGGGATACCCCTAATCTGAGAAATATCTGTTTGCTTCCACTATGAGTAGACATAGCCACCAAATTAAAATTGGCTGAGCATTTAATGAGTAGAGAATTTATTGATTGTTATCTATTCTCCTGGTTGATTATTTCACTAATTTCACTATATTAAGAAATAGGCTTTCCAAACCAATCTTCTTCTACTTCTACTTCCAATTTTCTTTTCCATGCTGCCACTCATCACCATTACGTTTTAATTGATTAGTTTAATTTATTTATTATATGTATGCGCCACCCATCTCACCTAGAAGTGACTTATGCTTGTTTCTCCCTTAACATGTTCCATTTTAGAACTGGAACCTGTTTTTTCTTTCTCAGCACCACTCTGGCAATTCTGTTGGTATATATTCAGGTTCACTCCCACAAAAAAAAAGCAAACAAAAAGCAGAATTTCTTCTTAAATAATTCTGGAGTAGCATCAAATTATTGCACTTTGGTCAGTCTCTTTTGGTACCACGAGAGATGCCACTATTGGCCCACAAAAACCCAGCAGTGAGCTGAAGTTCAGTTATTCTCATCTACAGCCACTGATCCCTCCAGAATGAAGAAAGCGGAATCCTATCAGTACAGCAAACAAAATGGCATCTTGGGAGACGTAGCATTTTAGATCCAAATCAAAAACGTGCTGCTCTGCAGGTATGGGTGTCCAGTCACCACCTCTTTGATTTTCCTAGGCATGCATGATTACCCTATAAACCCAGGAAAAGTCTTAACATGTTAAAGAAGTGGGTACAGGTAGGGCACATGAACCCATGCATACCCCAAAGTACCTTTTTGAGTTTGGATCCAAAATGAAGCACATCCCCAATCTATTTCTCATCCATTTCTCTTTCCCAAAACATAGCCAATCTTGGCTGGTCTCAAAAAATGAAGCAATGGTTTGGAGACCATTAACAAATTGTAGACCATTACAAGATGGTGGACCTCCCAATCTAGCTGACAGTCCTAAAAAATTCTCCCGTCCAAGTATTAACTTGGTTCAATCCTCCTTAGCTTTCTAGTCCAGACAAGGCCATCCAGATGCTATCACCTACTGAGACTGTCTATGAACCTTATATAGCACTATCATAACATGGGCAGCTGGAAGATGTGGGGAATTAGCTATTTCATTAAATGCAGGATAGCTCTGAATGAATTCCACAGCATCCCAGATCATTCCCTTCTTGAACTGGCTGTGATTTTTGCTTCTTCATACCTAAAGGGAGGAGAAGAGAGAATTAATCATTGCATGTATTGATTCAGTTGACTTGATGCATAAAAACCAAAGAGATATCTTGGAATAAAATTAACCTCTAAAAATTAATAGTTTAGCAAAGGTCTGTTATATGTCCTTGACAGGAAAATATTACAATTAGTATGATTAATGAGCAGTACAGCAGTAAATATATTACTTGTGTTGTTGTTATTGTTGTTGATGATCTTCCTGTCTGTTTGATGTATGGAGAACTGTGAATATGACAAAAGACAATGAATAATTTTATTGTAGATAGGAATTGTAGAAGTGGTATGTATGTAAACTGGAAAAAAATGGGCATTGATTGTATCAAAGCCCAACTCACCAATCTAATGTAATGGAACATCACTTCTAGAATTCTGAACAAGTTGTGGTTTCAATTTGGGATCAAATAAGGAAAGAATAAGCATTCTGCCTTGGCTAAGAAAAAGATAGAGGACAGCATGGTGGATATAAGGTCAGTTCCCCAACAATTGAAATAGTGCAGAACATTCTGATGCATCCCCCTTAACAACCATAGTTTGTAGCTAAACAGCAAAAGCAAATTTAAAATACCCCGGAAAAGAGATTTAGGCTGAAAATTAAACTATTAAGCAATAATCATTTTTTACCTGTCCAGTAAATAAAATTTAAAAAAAATATTTTACCAGTGCTATTTTATTCTTGGGCCTTGTCCTTTCATCCTGCTTGCCACAGAATGAAGAATCCCCACTAACATTTTTAGAAGATATATCTTCATGATGCCACCTCCATCTCATTGCCAGCCCACTTCTCAGGCAGCTTTAGGTGTTCAGGTATAACAATGGTGCTTTCTTTCTCATCCCACCCCATGGCCTCCAGTCGAGGGCACCTTAATCTGGAGATGATGTGACTAGAGGATGGGAGCTGCCCAGGAACTATTGGTTGGGTAAATCTGCTGTAGAGATGTTATTTCCTGCAGATCTGATTACTGGGCCCTGCAACACTACTGCCATTTTCTATTGGCTATGGAGATAGCACCTCAAAACCCTAAAAATAGTAATAGATTTGCCCTTTTTGATATATTTATTTATTTTATTTATTAAATTTAGATGCCACCCATTGCACTAACAAACAAGCAATAATGACCTGCCAGGAGATAAGCCTACCAAAAGCCTGATAGGTCATCAACAGCTGTGAGAAGAGAGCCTGCTGGAGGAGGCTGGAGGTAGGAAAAGGGGAGAATGGGAAGAAAAGAAAAAAAAGGAAGAAACTTCAAGTTAAGGGAGAGGAATGGAAATTGCTGCAGCAGCTCAGGAGTAGATTTTGTGAGGCATGAAGAAGAGCCATGGAGAAGCTGTTCAAGAGCTTTCCTTGATGGTGAACTGAACAAAACGTAATTGAACTGAATTGGAGGAGAAGGAAAAAGCTGCTGTGGCAGAAATTCAGCCCCAATCACTGGTATGGAAAGGGAGGGAATGCATTTTCTATCAGCTGCATAGTTTATCCCCCTGGGAAGGAGAAATGTTGGCTTCAATAATGGAGTCCTCCTAAAGGAAACAGTATTATGGAGCAAACATAGTGCCACTCAAGACATTGAGCTGTTTTACCCCAAAGCCCGCATTCACTTCTTATCTGCAGTCGTGTTCTTCAGTGTATGTCTCAATCTCAACCCTTCTATTTGCAGTAGGGGCAGAGTAATGCTTACCTACTTGATTGCATACACAACAGTTATATCTTAGTACTAGTTTGGACATGTTGAGAAGGGATGGACTCTTACGATTTAGTAAGCAACAGGATTGCTTTTGGCTACACCAGAGAGCAGAATGTAAAACTGGGAAATAAGGATCAAGGAAGAAAAAGGAGAGACATATGGATAGCTCCAATCTGTGATGTTTTAATTCTGAGAACAGAATAGTTTGTTGTAAAAACATCATCTGAAATAAACAACTTTATCTTTTCATTTTTTAAATGTTTATCATGTTCATTTATACATGACTTTTTAGTTCATCCCACTATGCTAGCATATTATTCAGAGTAATGTGTTCCTTCATTTTTCAATGAGTTGATACAGTATAGTCAGGACCTTCTGAGATCTTGGGAAGCTGGGGGCAGAGTGTTCTTTTGAATACTGCCAACCCCAGCCCCCTCAACATATGCTTCTTGCTGCAGTCCACATCTACATCTATTTATTTATATCTATGGATCTATAAAGTGAGCCAGTTTTCTGCAGTGATTAAGGCATCGGGGTTGAAACCGGAAAACTGTGAGTTCTAGTTCTACCTTAAGTACAAACTCAGCTGGGTGACCGTGGGCCAGTCATTTTCTCTAGGAAGGAAACAATGGCAAACCATTTCTGAAAAACTGTGGGGACCTGTCCTGGCAATCTCTGAGAAACACATTGAACACACTTGTATTGAATTGTACACAACTGAACAAAAGAAAAAACACACACATAAACCCAGTCTATATCTATCTTATCTCCATGTGTTTGCTTTTGAATACAATATTCCAGTAATTTGGAGTGCATAATAAGATTGCAGTAACTCTTGCTATTATATTGTAACTGATTAGTTTTGCCTTGAATTTTAAAAAAAGGAAGATCCATTTGGTCATTTCAAATACAAAGAAACTTTCAGAAGGGATCCCCTCATGTGTGGAGCCTGGATCAATAGTTTTCACTTCCTTCCTTTAAAAATGTCCTGGGTGCAGTGTTATCCCTGGCTGACCAGATGTGCTCCAGATACATTAATGTTAAGAGTACATTCTAACATTCACATAGTACCCTTATTTTGATATTAAGCTGAGAGAATGTGATCCTTTGCAGAATTTCCCACATCTTTATGGAAGAGCTAAAATGTAGCAGAGTCTAATAAATGTTCCCCTTTTCTTGCATTCTCAAAGATTTCTTCCAAGGGACTGTTTTCCTCTGGGAATTGATTATCCCATCAGTTGTGTGAGCTCTGCTTGTATTCTCTTGTAAAGTGATTCATGCATACAAATGATGGAGTGACTGAAATCCTGCTGTTCTTCAGGAGCTGGAATTTGGGCTATTTGGATTAAAACTAAGCATCCAGATGAGATACATGAACCTGTTCACTGAGAACAAGCCTATATGAACTACTGTTCCAGAGCACAAACTATTGTGTGGCATTCAATCACATTGGGTTATTCTTCATTTCTCTTAGTTATTTGTAGTTCAATGCATCTATCTTTCTAATTTGATACTAAAGCACTTTTCTATAATCTAGTATTATAATATATATAATATGGTAGTTTTACTTTCCTTCTGTTTCAAATTGTGACATTGCTTCTAATGCTTTTGCAAAAGGGTTGACAACCAGAAGTATTGTCATCCATTGAAAGAAAATCTATACTTATTAAATTATTATTGAATGAGGGCTCACACGTCCCATAATGGGATATAGGGTTAGTGAGACTTGGGTTTAGATTAGGTGAGATACAGAAGACCAATATTAAGAAACATTTGCCTTTGTTTTAATAAATAGAAATGGAATATCAGAACCACTTTAGTTTCCATATTATTAAGAAATAAAATAGACTCTAATTCTATAATCATGACATTTTTATTGTCTGATTTAAGCTGCAAATCTGTATCACATTCTTCAAGACTTTACTTTGTCATAATAGGCCATTTGAATAGATATACAGGCATTGCATCCAATGATAGCTTTGATATATTGTTTAGCATCTATTCTTTTAGTTGAGTTAATGGGAAGTTGCTTGAGAAAAGATTGTGTTGCTATTGTTTGTGAAATGAAAGCCTGCAGTGAATAGTCATCAGTGCACATTAAATAATCTGCTGCTACTTATTGACTTTTTAATTGCCTGGGGAGTTCCTCCAATTGATCAATCGAATGCAGGTGTTTATGGCAATGACGCTGTTGAAGTGAGTACTGTGCATTTCTGGGCCAAAAATTGTAAAGATGGTGAACTGGGAAGAACCAATTTATTTATTTTTATTCTGCCTTTAT